CGCTCATAAATGTGAACGGGTCATCAGCAGGGAAGCTCAAAAAATGACCGGAAGCGTTTCACAATTAAAGATGATGATCGCCTTATTAGTTTGGCCACTTTCAGGTAATTAAAGAAAACGCTCATAAATGTGAACGGGTCATCAGCAGGGAAGCTCAAAAAATGATTCGTGATTGCTTTCTTGCGACTAAAGAAGTGGAACGCGATGAGTTGGCTTGTGGAGAGTGCGAAAGAAACATGAAATGGCGGCTGCCCAAGCTGAAGCTGAATTGGGCTCTATGACTATTGAAGAAAACAAGGTTGAAGGAACTGAAGAGTCTAACTTAGAAAACATCGATAAGGACGAAGAAAAGGAAGACTATGATGAAAACAGAAATTTCACGAAATGAATACTTTAAGTAATGCTTGGCTGCTGTGGCACATTGCCATATTTGTATCAAGTGATTCTTCATTTAAATTCACCTTAATAAACAAAAGTGTTTAATAGAGGGTTGAAAAAACTTTCTATCTACGCTTTTGCTGTCACATGTACATTTTTTTTTCATTTTTTCATAAATTTAATTCGATTATATTTTTCATTCAGATGAGCGCGCTTTGTAGGCGTGGATGAGGACATCAAATCGGTTTTAGTGCGTAAAGTCGGAAGTGAAATGCGAAATTTAAAAGCAGAAAAAATCGAAAGGCGAGTTCATGTTCAGTTAATCGCTGCGTATAAAAAACAAAGGTGTTATATTTTGTGCTACATAAATACAGTTTGTCCCGGATTTTTCTTTCCTAGTTCTACTAAGAACCGTGGAACTAGCAAAAGACATAAGCAAGACTCCAGCTCAGATCACTAATAAACTTCACAGAGATGATGGAAATTTAGTTTACCCAAATGGAGGCCAAATTACAACGTCGGTTCAAAATCATCGTCTTGCATCATTCCAGCACCGGAAACATTGTTAATCGGTCAATGCCCATTCCCCAACCACCAGTCGGCGGCAGACCATATTCTAATACAGTACAGAAGTTCTCATCCACCATTGTGCTCAAAGCAAAATGCGACCGTTTAATTCCCGGCTGATGACCCGTTCACATTTATATGCGTTTTCTTTAATTATGTACATGTCACAGCAAAAGCGTAGATAGAAAGTTTTTTCAACCCTCTATTAAACACTTTCGTTTATTAAGGTGAATTTAAATGGAGAATCACTTGATAAAAATATGACAAAAAAAGCAGCCAAAAATATGGTTTGGATGGATATTTCTTTTAAAAATAACTTATTATAATATATTCTTAACATGACTTATAGCGCATTACTGGTCTGCGTGTGAGTCTTGACAGTGTTTCATAGCGAAACAATTTTATTCTTAACTAAGTCTTACAAAATTTTGCGTGAAAGGACTAGGACTGTGAGTGCGGGCAAGTTGGGATAGAACTGAACCTTTTTGTTCAACGGGTTAAGCATCATATTATCGTTTACACTTTTTAGGTTAAATTTAACAATCCGATAAGTTCGTCTTCGGTTCTATTTGCAATTAATGAAAAAATGTTAATTCCTTCTCTTCTTCCACTCCCACCTATTCGGGGTCATATTGGTTCTAGAAACTTACTTGTTTTCAAATTTTAATGTGTCCAGTGTTTTGTTGTCGTAGTATCTCTTTGAAAATATTTCCGATGACGTGTTTTTTAATTATTTTCTTTCGAATTGCTTTTTTACTCTGCTGAAGAAGAAATTTCTTTCTTTTCAGATAACCTTTAAACGACATATTTTCCATGTTTTATGTAAAATAAAAAATAAAAATTTTTTGTTAAAGAAAAACTAAATACGGTTTTCAAGTATTAGGAAAAGGGTAATGTACTCGTTTGTTAGCTTTTCGGCAAAGCTTTGAAGAAATAAACAAAGACCAACACCGCCACGATCTTGCGAAATGCCTCCCCGTGTTTGTCACGACATCAAGGTATATGAAGCTGAAAGTATGTTGCAGCATTCACACCACTGAGTGTTGGTTCGCCTAGATGCTACATCCGCCATGTTATTACCTTGTACAACCTCTCCACCTTAACCTTTACTGGCCCTGGTTGAGGCAAAAACGGCGAAGAGTATGCTAAGCAAAACTCACAAAATAAATAGCCCACAAAAAAAAAGAAGAAACGACCTCCAAACCTTTTCCATTTCTTAAATTATATATCATTGTAATGCTTCATTTTTACTAACCGCAAAGTTTCATCTGTTCAAAAGGCTTTTTTTTTTAAGGGCTGCCAACACTTCATCGTAGAAAGGGTGACAGATTCGAATTTTCCATAAATATTGAGATACCCTATAGCGATAATAAAACAATATATGTAATATAATAATATATAATAAACTATGATAATTAGTTGAAAAAAAAATTTTAGATTACAATTGTCGCTTATCTATCTCAAAAATTCGAAAAGCTTAGAAGTGTTTCGCGAAACGCTAACATTAACTTCGAATATTGAATAATTACTGTTCAGAGCATTTTCAAAACATTCGATCAGTAATTTGGCCATGAGACATAAAATATTAACGGGGTGCTGTCCTCAGCAGTATGTCTTGATTTTTTCCCAACCTAGGTCCTATATTTGGAAACGTACAATTCTAGTTTTTGCTTCTATGTCATTGTTGCTAAAACATACATGTTTCCATGTGACTGTATTTTCTTATGTAACAACTCAAACCACTCTATATATTTTCCTCACCTGGCATGTTGGTATGTCTACGGTACATGGCATTTTGTTAATCGAAAAAAATTTTGTACATTTGAACGATTTTTTAATTCGGAGTTCTGTGTGCCTGAATCGAAGTCTTTATCGATTCAAAGAGAATTATTTATTCAAAGCTAATCCGTGTAGCTCTCTGTAAATCCCATTACTTGTATATATATATATATATATATATATTTATAAATAGAAATATATATTTTAATATTTCCGATTCTTTTCCGTATTTCCGTAACATTAATTGACGAAGAACAATGCCGTGCTTTTCAGCATGTCCAGGGTCTACGCATAGCTACATACAAAAACAAGAACCGATCGATCGTGCAAAGACAGCAGCGCGGGGCGTTTCAGATGTTAATGTGTTGAAACATGTTTGCAAGAAACCCAATCACCATCTTAAATGTCACAATGTGTTTTACACGCAATCTATTCCGCCTCGAGAAGTACGTGCAAGCGTTCCGCGTAAAGTACAACTTCCACATAAAGAATTGGAACGATTAAAATCCGCTTCGAAGGTTGTTACATTAGAGGATCGCCTGGATGATTTAATGAAAAAGGAGACGGAATTGCGGCGATTGGAAGAAGAAGCTGAACGGACTCGGGAACGTTTCAAGAAAATTGACGATGCGCGCAAAAAAAAGGCTGAAGAAATTGCTTTGGTGCAGAAAAGAGAGGAGGTTCAGGATAAATTGCAGGTTCTCGAAAAAGCTTTTCTAGCGAAACACGAACAAGAAGAAGAGGTGAAAAAAGTAAATCGCATTATACTTGATGCTAAATGCCACGCGGTCCGCGATGCCCAAATTCAAGAAAAGAGTAAATTATTTAAAGAGCTACGCAAGGAGGAAATACATTTGGAGCAACAGGTCATAGAAAGGGCTATGAAATCACTTAATGACGAAGATCGTCAATTCGATAAAAAACAAGAGGCGAAACAAAAATATGCGGAAGAAATAAGGAAGCAACTGCTTGAACGGGAAAATCAACGCTTCCTTGAGGCTGAACGTACAGAAAAAGAGGCAAAAATGCTGCGTGAAATCAACGAAGCTTTTAAACATGACGAAGAACGGCAATACCAATTATCTAAGCAGAGGCGCTTGAAATTTCGGGGCGAATTGGCCCAAGTGGTGGAAATGTCTAATGTTTTTAAGCGTATGTTATGTGAGCAAGAAAGAACTACAGAGATGAAAATAGCGACCTATATGCGTGAAAAAGATGAACGGTTGCGGGCTCTGGCTCACGAAAAAAAATTGCGGAAACAAGAACAAGATCGCAAACGTCAGCGCCTTTTTAATTTGGCTCAAAAGGCACTTGAATCGCGTTCACAACGCGACGAGATTACCTATCTTAGGCAAAGGGAAAATTTAGAGAGGGAATACCGTCAAAAAGAAAAGGAAACAGCAATGAAAAAAAAACGACTCGAAAAAGAATTAAGCGATGCCCGCGAGCACCAAATGCAAGAAACTAAACATCGGCAAGCGCTACAAGTTGCTCGTGCCGAACAAGATTTTAATGAACTAATTCAACGTTTGAAGAAGGAGGAGGAGGAAGACGGGAAACTCACTCTAGAAAGGCAACGGAAGCGCAATTGTTATCGAATGGATATAATACGACAAATGGGTGATAAAGAAATGGAGCGACGACGACTGCTGGACTTGGAACGTAGTGAAGCTTCAGACTGGCGTGAACGCGAACGCCAACGTGACGCAAACATTAAGGCTGTCATCAATGCTAAGTTAGCAGCTATGCGTGATGCTTGTCTACCAGAGAAGTATATCAAAGACGTAGAGATGCAGTTACAGCGCATTACCAATAACCAGCGCCAGAAGCTGGCAAAATAGATAAATTAATGTTTAATTAAAAATAGTAATTATTATTTTTTAATTAAGTATTATTATTTGTTAAATAATTATTAATCATAAAGGGAGCGAATTAGAAAGAGGCAACGAGCTGGAGGGAGGGAGGGAGAGATGCATTTTTTGTATAATTTCTGTAGCGAGAGAGCCACTTAGCTAGCTGCTGACAGAAATTGTACTGATTGATCCTGCTCTGCAACTTTGCTTTCATTGCTGCTGAAAGATTTCTCTCTTTCTTTCTCGCCCTCTCTCTATCTCTCTCACTATCTTCTGTACTCGTCATTGTTCAATTTCATTTCACCGTATGACTCACAAAAGAGGAATAGTGTCATTTAATTTTATCATCTATATAAATCTAGTGATAGCATTGAATCATTATTGCACTAACTTTTTCTTATGTATGAAATTACTAATGTTTAAGGATTTTCATTTAATTAATGCATAAACACTAAATGGCCTGTGTCTTGAACAAGTATATATGTTTGTGCGTTTTGATCTCTCTCTCGATAAAAATGTTTGCATCCATTCTTTTATTTTATATCAAATAAATTTTCTGTTCTTGAACTGAAGTCGCTTGAAAATCATTTTAGTTAGTAAATGGGTCGATTATCACTAAACTTAAAGAAATTGATATTGTATCTGGTGGATCCATTCTTTGTTATACCGATCCATTTAGCATCATTATATGAATAGATCTAAGCGCAAACGATAGACTTCGAATATTATGTTTACATTTATATATATTCTTTATTATATTTTTGACTTGTATACACAAACACACGTATATAAGTAGTAAACGTAGTTTACCAGAGATATGTGCTTGCAAAAGAAAAACGCATAAATACTGATGGCGAGTGTTCTACGAAATGACGAAAATGAGATAAATTTTAGTAAACGTATATTTGAAGATATATCCGCATAGTATAGACGTAATTGAAACGTTACAAGCGACAACGGTATGTGATATAATCCAAATAACGCAGATACGTCACCTAATAGCAAAATTTTTCCTTTTTTTGCTAGCTATGGTTATTTTTCGTATAGTATGGAGTTAAGATAAAATGTACGCATATATATATATATATGTATATATATGTATGTCTGTTTATGTGTGTGCTCCACAAATATAATTCTTGGCAGACTAAACCTATCTCTTTGCTGGGTTCTTTTCCAAATAGACAGACATTCGTATGTACATAGAGATGTCTTTTAGCGATAATGTGCAACATACAAAGTTATATATAAACGCAATGCAATTTGCCTTAAGAGAATAATGTCCAAGGAATTGACATAAGCATGAATGCATGATATAAACTTGTTACTATTTGCATTTATTATTTATTGCCCATAATTTCGTAATCAATACATGTATCTTCTCTTATTATTTTTTGTTTCCTTCAACACTTTCAAAACATTACCCGTAACTCGGGGCTTTGATCATAGTATTGCATACACACACTAGCATGTATATTTATATTTACATTCCGGGAAAGAGGCACACATATATTTATGCGAATGCACCCACGTCTTCTAAATTTGATTGAACTAAGAAAATGTTTTCGATTATCATTTGCTTTATTCTCAGATTTTATCATTTATTCGCATAAATTTGGGTTTTTTTTTTTTATTACCTCCTTTTTTTTCTTGGTTTGGGTTTCTGTCATTTATGTTACACTTTTACGCTATGCAAAAACAACTCATAAGCACGATCGTTTGCAAGACAATCGTTCTACTCTGAGCTGCAATAATTTTTAATGCGTTTTAATAAAAACAAAGCAAACGCAAAAATGAAATTAAAAATTAAGTAGAAAGAAACTAAGTATGAAAAAACACTTTTGCATCACCTTAACAAATCGTTAGCGAAATAAAATTAATTTATTATTTTAATGATGAATCAAGTTTCTTTTTAAAAAATAAAGATGTCGAACACAGTTTCCGCCACTTTTTATTCTTTTTCCCCCTCTTTTCGTCTCCGCCGAACGCAAGTGAAGTTAGAATATGTTTGAGTTTGTCAGTTATAACTATTGCATAGAGTTGTCACTTCTTAACATGCTATGACAAAAAAAGAGAAAAGGTCAACGAAGGCAGTTTTTGATTTTTTCCTTTTTTTTATTGCTATCGTATAATATAAACTAGTGATTATAATTGTAAAATGTACAGATATATGAGCTATATGAATGAATAAGATCAGATACACTTTTAAAAGATGCCTGAAAACGTATGAAATCAAAGAGTTAAGGCAATACAAGCTGCGGTGCGTATTTTAAAACCAACCTTGAATTTTTTCCAAATCTTCGGTGGATATAATAACGGGCCCTTGGGCAGCCAAATGATTTAAGTTTGTTTGCGTCAAGCTTATTTTCTTTGCAGACAACGTTTGCTGCATATCCAAATATTTCTCCCAAATGTTTACACTGTCTCCCTTTTCGGCAAACTTGTCAAACTTCATTGTAACGTTTTTCTTTTTCACAAATACATGACGATTTACATGGAAATGACGATTCGATATATAAATATTCTGCAGTCCTAGACTATTTTCTTCAGATGCTTTATTGCCCGTTTGGTTTGATTCAGTTTCGCTTTTAAGTAAATTCTTAAGCTCAAGATTCTGTTTTTCCAACGCATCGACTTTAGCAAGGAGAGTTTCTTGCTGTTCACGTAAATCCTCAACGTTTTCCATATCTAAGAACTCCAACTCATATTCCTCAATATCGGGCATGCGGTACGTTGTACGCATATTTTTGGCTATATAACGTTCAGTTATAACCGTAACTTTAGCCAAAACGTAAATGCATACAAAGATACACAAGAAACTAACATAGGTCTCGTAATTCTCATGACACGTAAGCGAAGGGGAGACAGCCAATACATCATCGCTAGACCCAAGGAGACTTTCTGTACCTGCAAAAAAAGCCAGATTTTTTTTTTCGTATAGTAGCCAACAGACATATGCGCCACGCGTATAAGTATAAAAATGTATGAATTCACACAAATATATACCGTGCATATCGTTTAACTTACCATCACCAGCTTCAACTGTCTTCTGCATAAAATGATATTCAATTTGCTTGAAATAGCACAGAATGATCCACGATATAAAGCCTAACGACAGGAGAAATAAGAAATTTGTTGAGGAAAACATTGTTTGGCGTCTTTTAAAATTTTGATTTAAAACAACAACCAAAATACAATTGAAATGAAAAGCAATAATTTTCAATATTACTGCAGCTCGATGAAAAACTATACACAGACGTATATGTGACAAGTAAGAACATTATAGTCGGGCAAGGTTGACATTAAATGCTGTACGCCACAATTCTTATATTTCTTATAGAACGCAAAAATTATATCTTGTTTCTATGTAGAGGTAAATAATATCTCTTAGCTTCGCTTCTAACACTTCTCTTGTCCTTTAACAATTTATTACTCATACATGTCATGCGTCTTTGTTATCTTTTATTAATCTGCTCTAAATATGATAAGGATCAGCTTTATATCTGATAGTCACCTGCTTTATATCCAGTCTGACTTAGAACTGTATGAAATTAGCGAAACCTTTTCGATATCGTTCCTTATCACTTGTACCATCCCTGCTCACAACAACAAGACCATATTTATCTTTCCAATACTCACTACAAATCGACAAAACTTTTTTAAATGACATACCACCAACAACATGATCCTTGTATATATGTCTGACACTCATTTCATCTTGTTTAAATACTGTTATCATATTTGCATTATCACATATAAGATGTGCGGGAATTCTCGTGTGTGTTTGACATAAATAAAAGCAATCAATGTGCTTATGTCGTGCCCATGCAAAAGTAAAAAAATGTATCGTGTTTTTTTTTAATTATTCTTTATTTTATACTGTCGCCTTGCCTAGATATTCATTTCATTCTCTCTTACAAATCTCTTATCATTTAAGTAGCTTAAGGCTAGTTTATTAATATGTGGTGTGCACAATTGATGTATTCTTGATCAGAAAACGTGCATGGAATCATAACAAAATTTGTTTTCAAATCAACATTTTCTAATGCCATCAACGGTCAGCTTCACCGCAGCACATTCCGCCACACCTTTAATTTTCTTCTTCTATTTTAAAAGAAAACATTTTTAGTCGTAAGTTACTGAATTCCTTCATTATCTTTCCTTTACATTCATCCGTCATCGTTCGTAAAAGTTTTTTATTCAATGATAAGTCTGCGTATTTCAAACAAAATGTTTCCAACTTTTAGACGCATCAAATTGATAGATGCTATCATCTCGAATGTCATTATATAATTCATTCGCTCTCATATCATAAATAAAAGAATCACTATTCATATAATTTAGATGAATATTTTCCTTATATTTAGGCTGCAGGGAAATTATACGTTTTCCATTTTGATCATTCTAAGACGGTGAAACCAACGTAAATTGGTTTATTTTACTCAACTCGTACTTTATTCATTTGAATCAAAATCATTTCGTCTGAAATCTAGCTATAAGAGCTCTCGGACTCAACCTTCCATCTATATTCTTCCATTTGAGCAACTTGAAAAAATTTTGTTTAAAAGAATTTTTAGCTAACGTCTTATGACACTTTGTTCCGTCCTATGAGCACTTTTTTTAATTTCGGCAACAAACGGTAGGTCATTGCGATAGTCGTGTCACGAAGATGGATATTCTAAATCTGCTTCCAAAATATATTCTATATGTGAATCATCTTTCACCTCATGTAAATTGTAATTTTTCAAGTCTTCCAAGTCGATCCATTCAAAATTTTTATGTAAATTGTTTACATCCAAACAAATTCGGGTCATAATCGCTTACATATGTATTATTAACTAAAAAATATCTTTTAGAACATTGAACAATGCCTCTCTTTATAGCTCAAATAATAAAATTATATTGCGCAATGTCGGTCAATAATTCCAACTCTATTTGTGTTGTCTTCAACAGGCATTCCAACACAAACTAGGTGTAGTATAATGTTGACAAGAATCTAAATTATAAATATTTTTACATATTTTATAGCAAAACATCCAGTTTCAAATACAGTATAAGCTCCTTATTCACGGGGTATACGTTGCATAAAAATGGCGCGAATACAGAAACTGTGAATACGGAACGGTAATTTATAGGGCATAGATTATAGGGCATACGTTCCTAACTGACAAAATAAAAAAAAAAAAAAAAAATATATAAAAAATCAATTTAATTGAAGTTTTTGAACATTTTGATTAATTATCTTAAGGTATAGGCAATGGTTTGAAGAATTTTGTAAGTTCCTCTTGCTTGGCAGTTTTTAGAAGCTTTTTCAATTCAGATTGATACGCAGCAGTCGCATTAGCAATTTGCCTCTTAAAAATAAGACTTCGTTCCATAGCCGGATCAATGTTCATGAAGAAATCGCGTAGCTCGTTTGCCATTCTTAAACCTTCACTAAGACTTTCCAATTAAATGTCACGTTTCCAGTGCTCGTTAAAGTCTCTTCTTCAGTGGGCGGTGAATATAAAATTTCCTCTAAGTCAGCTTCAGTCAAATCTTAATCTTGCGATTCAAGCAATTCCTGAATGTCATTTGATTCTATCTGTTCGAACCCATCTCGTCCTATTCCATTCGCGATTTTGACTATGTTTGCAGTCAAAGTTGGAACTCGCACAGATCCTTCGTCATTTTCTGCAGTCAGAGCAGGCCACAGTTTTTTCCATGCATGACTTCAATGTGCGTGGCTTCAGTTCTTCCAATGATCCTTTTATGTTTACGATGCATTTTACTACGTCAAATTTCTTCCTGTATTCCATAACATTCATGTCAGGATTACATTCCATATTATCCAATATGATTTTGAAGGCACGTCGAATGTAATAGAGCTTAAAGGCCTGGATTATTTCTTGGCCCATATGTTGAAGCAAAGCCGTCTTGTTGGGAGGTAAAAATGTCACTTTTATATTTGGATACATAGTTTCAAGTTCGCGAGAATGACCTGGTGCATTGTCCAAAACTAGAAGTGCTTTAAAGTCTCAATTCTGTTTTTTTAAATAAGTTTCATCTTTAGAAACAAAACAATTCCGGAACCTGTTACAAAAAATCCGTGAATAAAGAAATTTATAGCCGCGAGTATGGGAATTGGGCCGCATTTTCTTAATCCGCGAATAGAGAAACAGCGAATAAGGAGCTTTTACCATATGATAAATAGTCTCCGAGGGTTCTACATGGGAATGTATTCCAGACTTTTTTAGTATGTTCGCTACATGGTTGAATGGTTAATCTATTGAGAAAGCATGAACGGGATGGCAATTGTGTCTCGTCAAGTCTATTAATAGAATCTAGGTAAACATAAAGAAAGACGTCTTTACGTTTCATCAAATTGTGCTGTGTATGGTTGTAATAAGTTGGTTTTGCAATAATTATATATCGGACAAGTATTCAGCCAGTTTTTTTAAACTTGTTGGCATAAATTTAAATGAATCTAAAAAACGTGGATCAATGCACTTTTTTCCGCCTGAAACGATTCTCTTAGATACGGATATATACAATTCCTTTTTTTGGGATTATAACATTAATGCTGCCCTTAATAGATGAAAGTCCCCCAATAAGCACATGACAGTCGTATGCTGAAAGAGTACGGAAAAATATGGCCACAAGTGTTGTAACTTTATATTCTACATTATATTTATTATGAGCAGGTCGCCTATAATCACCTATCATGATTAGCTACTCTTATTTCGAAAGACAAAAAATTTCCTACAAATGTGACAAAGACTTTTTAGGTTTAAGTTTATTCAAATAATTATCATAAATATATAAATCATCTTTAGCTAGATTTTGAAAAAAATGTTTTGTCGAATTTTCTCCACATTCTAAATAAATCTAAATTATTAACTAGGGAACACTTAACTATAGGCAAACGGAATATGTTTTCGTATCGATTTGGTGTTAGTTAAATTTAGATATTCATTCATTCTGGAATACATTCGAAAGCAACATAAACAACAAAAAGTGCATCCAATAGGTGTTCAAAGTTCTTAAAACTAAGTATACAATCTTCTTTCTTAGGAATTTCAGTTACTATTTTCTTCTTTCGTTCTTAAGACCCTACAGTGCATCCACAATGTAAAAATAGATTAAGCAGACGTTACACATATGCATCACCGTGCAATGTGTCCCTGTGTGAGCATCCTATAATTGCACACACACATACTCATATTAAATGTTAGAAAAATATTGTTATTTGTGGATCCACAATAAGATCATCCTCGAGATCGAACACATTAACATTTATTTCTGGATTTTGCAATTGAAAGTCTTTTTCAAATATTTTTTTATTATCTTATTTTAAACACTATTATACTATTTGGATGTTCTCTAGAGTCGACTGGATACATAGCAGATTTTATTGTTCATTTAAAGCGATATATATCAGTGTTTTGTTTTCTCACACATTCCTTCCTTTTACATATATATTGCATGTATAAACGTATGTAACTTGAAATTTCTCATATCTTTTTACGAACAATATTGCATTAATTTGAACAGAATTCACGAAGTTCGACGGTTTCGATTGAAATCGACATATTCATATTTGTTTGATGTAAAAACGCACGCTTTTCTACGCTTCATATCCTTCCTTCATTTAACTGTACTTGCAATGTAGTATACGATGGACATTTACTGTTAACATGTTTTTGCGCAGTAGTTGTTAACATTCTTTTTACATTATTCTCGATGGTGGTGAAGACGTTTTTCCCGAAATCAAACCATCTTCTTTGTTTTTATTTTCAAATTTATATGGTTCAACGCGATTTTGAAGCGTGGACTCAACACCAGCTACATCCATATTCAACCATTTAAAGCAATTGTTTGCAAGTTTGTACGTAGGTGGTGATGACATTGCTTTCATCGTTTTGATTGGAAAATTTTACATCACGCGGTTGAATTCGTGTTGCATCCTTAAGTGTCGATTTACAGAACATTTTTGTTTACATATTTTACCACAAAAATCACAAGAAAAATTTAACATTTCTTCTGTTTTTTTTTTTTTAAATAGCAGTTGTAGTGGATGTTATTGCGGATTTCCTAATCTTAGTATAAGATGAATGATGTATATTTATCTAAAAACCTACTTGCTTATACGATATGAATTGCCAACAG